GATGTGAAACTGGCTCAGGAGATTCACAAGATGAAGAAAAAGTTCTACTTTGTTCGCTCAAAGATTGACCATAACATACAGGATGAGAAAAGAAGTCAGAGGGACTTCAATGAAGAGATGACTCTCAAACGTATAAGAGACTACTGCATTCAAGGTAGGTGTCTTCTTCTTAGTGTTACTATTTCTTTTCTCAGAGTGTGGTTTTGTGGAAACTTTTCACAGACAACAAACAAAATACTTATTTATGACATGTTTTCTCTACTCACATTTAAATAACCCTACAGATTAGCAAACGACAATACAAAATTAAACAGAAGGATCTAATGAATTCTGTCTGGTGCACATGAAAAACCTGAGACACTTCAGATCTTCATAATATCTCAACTTTAGACGTGAGTTGAGGGATTATTGAGTCAGAGTGATGCATGATGGATCATTGGTAGGATTCTTTAATGCATCAGAAAATACGACAAATGATTTCAAGATTGAAACAATTCAACATTTTACATCTTAGTCACTGTACCTTTACATTGAGCTGTTGTTGCCTAATTTCCAAAGTTTTTCTGTTTTTCTGCTTTTGTCCTCCTCATTACAAACTAGTGTTAAAGTCATCATATAATTTTCACAATGATAAAATTACTCTATGAATCATGTTGTATTCCCTCTTCATCACAGGTCTTCAACAACAAGGTTTTGAGGCTCCACAGGTCTTCCTGGTGTCCAGCTTTGAACTCCACCTGTATGATTTCTCTCTCCTCCATGAGACCTTAGAGAGAGAACTTCCTGCACACAAGAGGAATGCTCTACTGTTTACCATGCCCAACATCAACCGTGAGATCATCAACAAGAAGAAAGAAGCTTTTCAAGCCAAAATAAAATATCACGCTGTTCTGTCTGCAATAGTGGCAGGTGTGCCAGTTCCTGAGTTTTCTACTGCTGTTGATCTAAGCATGATGGTTGCTGTTGTTCAGGAATATGTATTTGGGTTTGGGCTTGATAAACCGTCACTGCAGAGACTTGCTAACAGCACAGGTGTGCCATATGAGATTCTGCATGCTGTCATCAAATCCCCACTGGACTTCGAAAAAATAACTGTTGATCTCCTCCTGAAGGTGATAACCCAAACGACAGTCACAGCTGTTTTAATGACAGCAGAAGAAGGGTCCAGATTCATTCCCCTGTTAGGAATCCCAGTAGCAATGGGTCTCTCTTTTACTGCAACCTACAAAACACTGAGTTTTTTCCTCAACTCACTTGCTGAGGATGCACAGAGGGTGTTTGAAAAGGCTCTGGGTTTGGAGACATCAGTGTGATGACTATCCAGTGCTGTTCTCAGACTGGCATTTCATGTTTTTGTAATATTTGTAACTCTCTGTATATGTAAATGGTTTCACATGATTGTATAGATGTTTCTGTTTTCCAGGTCACTCAGTGTAGATTGGACTAATTATGAACATCAGTACATGCACAATATTAAAACCACCTGCCTGATATTGTGTACGTCCACCTCGTTCTACTATCACAGCTCTGACCCCTACACAGAACATCTGGAGGGTTTCTATAGTATCTGGTACCGAGGTGGGTGGCACATTCCAGGATTCAAGGTTTCCCAGCACAACATTGCATAGTCAGATGATGATCAATGTTATTTACTTTGTCTCAGTGGATTTAATGTTGTGGCAGTTTGGTGTATATCTAACTTGAATATCCGGTTTGTACAGTTTGCTACAGTTTCAGTAACTGTGTCTCCTGGAGTTCCTTCACACAGCCTACATTATACCACTGATAGAAGTTAACTCATTATCAAGTAGGTTTTTATTCAAGTACTGTACTCATGTGCAAATTTGAGGTACTTCATTAAACATTTCCGTGTTGTCATTTGTAAACTCTTTTAGTCATAAGGGGCAATTATCTGCAAAATGAGTGCTTTCATTTCTGATACTTTAAATATCAATTGCTGTTACTTTTACATGTTTACTTAAGTAGCAGTTTAAATGCAGGACCTTTAGTTTTTCTTCAGTAAAAGACTAAAATACTGTATTACTGTAATAGTGTATTTTCTTTTGTTATCTTTAATGTGGCACTCAAAATCCATTTTTTTTTCTCTTTACATAGAATGCATGAATATTTACAAGGCCCTGGGTTTACCCACCTCACTGTGGTGGATAGAAATATGCAGCATTAGTTAATTATGCAGGTGAGCTTCTGAATTATGTTTGTGAGAGCAATTTATTTTGTTAATCTGATGGTTTCTGTCTAATACTTCATGCCCAGCATCATCCAGACATGGCTTGTGATAAAACTGAGACTCGTCCAGCTAACAGCCTCCAAAGATGCAAGCATCTGTTTGTAGAATGAGTGCACTTATGTGTCCTGGGAAACCTGTCACAGTGTAAAGGTACATTCCACCTGACCTCTCCCAGTTGTCATATAGGAAGAACACTGACATATTTTTATCACACTGCACATCCGTTTTCTGCCATTGATTCTAGAACCAGGGTGCACAGGAACAGCATCTGATCCTGTTAACAAAGTGACCCAAACCCTTCTTTCTGACAAAGACAAGCAAAAACTTTGTCACTGAGCTGAAGAAAATCAGAGAAGGAGGAGAAGATTCTATGTGTTGATATATAACATATATGAAATGTATTCATGCATGTATGTACCTCACACAATTACTGGTCAGAGCTGTAATGTCGTCTGAACCACAGATATTGCAGATTCCAGGAAGTGACAGTGAAAATATCTGACTGTAAAATGAAAAGCCTGACAGACAAAAACATGTCAGGCTCCTCCTCTCTGTGTTTTTCAGCTCCCTCAGAGTGTCTCTGTGCTTCAGAATCTCTTCCTTCACATTAGGATCGTGACACTGGTCTGTCCAGAGGTCTGAATTCAACCCAACAGACTAACAGATTCTTCTCCTGGACTCCATTTAAATATATAAGGTGTAACAGTGGTGTTTCTGCTCCAGGGTCCAG